CGAATCTGGCTTCCCCATGGATTTGTTGGAAGGTCGCAAAAAGGGGATCGCATCACCCCGGGATGCCCCAACCGTCGTAAATATGAGTCAAATGTCGGAATTTTGATCGTGTGACCACAGGGGTGTTGCAACAGTCGTTAAGGGTGAACAAAACAGGTCCTAAGCCGCGTTTCTCAGTGCCATTGTACCTTTTGAACGGTCACTAAACGGACGCTTGTTAAAGGCAAGGGCCTCCTGTAAATCACTTGCAGTAGATAACAAGTTACAAAAGCTACCAAGCACACTCTTCCTCTTCTCAACTATTCAATTTCAGCTTTTGTGTTTCTTCCTATAATTTGAATTCTGGCTCCCCACCGCATAAATCCATGGGCGGGGAGCGGAATCTGTATTATAGATGGGGTGGAAGGGCCAATATCTAATAATTGCCAATAAACTTGATGTAGCACGCTTCGGGTAGTTCCTGCAAAATTTAATGGCTCCTGTTTCCAAAAAAAATGTAAAATAAAATACATATTTTCTTGAGCAATCCTATATGGCTAATCTCAATTAACTGGAACCCAGGCTAACTTCCTAACCTAAATTACATCCTGGAGCCACAAAACACCTGGCGCTCCCGACAAATGAGCCCAAATATATTCGTTGCAATATAAACTAATAATCTGGAAAGAAGTAAACACCATCACCGGGGAGAGTTATATAGCCTTCCTTTTTCTCTGCTGGGCAAAATGATGTCTTAAGTCATTTTATTTTCTTCTTTAAATGCACCATAAAGGACAGAAGCTGAAACCTGTTTGGTCTGATCAGAAAGCGTGCAGGAGACAGATAAAAAGAAAGAAAAAGAAAAAAAAGAAAGAAAGAAAAATTAGACACCGGGGGTGCTGAGAATCCAATTTTAAATTCTGAAATCCTGAAGAGGCTATCAGCCGGTTTCAGCATTGTGTCGAAGTGGTCACACCAGAAGGCCACATGCCGAAGTAAGATAGAGCTACACGAAAGTTGTTTGAAAACTAGGTGGAGAACGAACGCCGAACCCAGATAATTTAATGCTAACATTACTGACTGCATATATTCATTCATTGGAGTGTTACCTCTCAGCACAGGTGTCAACTCATAAAACATTTTCTATGCCTGTTTTATAGTTGCCCACAGAAAGAGGGAGGGAAGGAATTTGAAAGAGCAGATCACCTTGTAGCAAAGTTCCATGCAGAAAATCCAAAAAAGCCTTGGGGGGGAAGGTTTCGTAACCCTAAATTCTATGCCTGCACTCAATTTATTTTTGTATTGTACAGGTCTCCTTCAAGAAGTGAGGGGAGCCAAATGTCAACTCATAAAATATTTCTATGCCCATTTTATAGTTGCAAACAGAAGGGAGGGGAAAGGAGTATGAAAGGAGTGCAGCAGTTTGGAATCGAAAGGGCATTCCATGCATACCTTGCACAGATTATAACTAAGCGACTGGAGTTTCTGCCGGGCAAATCTCTAATTGGAGAATGTGATTGATGACTCTTGGCTATGGACATGTTTCGTTGGAGAATATCAATTATGATACACCCAGAGAGGTGGGGGAAAACCAGGGTCAAGGGTGACAGTGAATTTATCTGTCTCACAATCGGTTTCATACAGGTCATGCCGACATGTTCACTCCTAATAAATTCTTGGAAGCTTTTTGAAGTTTGGTTCAAGGCTCATGATTTAATGAGGACGATCACTGGAATCCTGAAAACAGGCCGTTCTCAGGCCGATCCCCACACTCTTTAACTGACCGCCACCCCCAGATTTAAAATAAGTACAGGTAGCCCTCGACTTACAACAGTTTAGGGACCATTTTAAGTTAACAACGGCACTGGAAAAAGGGACTTACGACTGATTTTCACGCTTACGACCCTGGGGGTGTGTGGGATCAAAATTTGGACGCTCGGCAACTGGTGTGGACTTATGATGGTTGCAATCTCCCGGAGTGTGTGTGTGTGTGTGTGTGTGTGTGTGTGACATGTATGGCACTCATCCTATACTACAGGTGGGGAAGAATGGCTTCTTTTATCACTTGTGGATTTCATCTCCCATGCTGGTTCCTGAACCAGCATGGCCAACGATGGCCTCTTTTAAGACTTGGGGACTTCAACTCCCAGAATTCCTGAGCCAGCATGGGGAACGACAGCCTCTTTTATGAGTTGTGGACTTCAACTCCCAGAATTCCTGAGCCACTAGTACAACTGATAGTAGAGGCCTTCATCTATATCCTTAGAATTTTGTATCCATGCACCAGGTTGCTGAGCTATAGCAATAGCATTTAGACTTATAAACCGCTTCACAGTGCTTTACGGCCTTCTCTAAGCAGTTTTACAGAGTCAGCATCTTGCCCCACAACAATCTGGGTCCTCATTTGACCGACCTCAGAAGGATGGAAGGCTGAGTCAACCTTGAGACGGTGAGAATCGAACTGCTGGCAGTTGGCAGAATTAGCCTGCACTACTGTATTCTAATAGTGCACACCATGGAAAGGAGGGAGGGAGGGAGGAAGGAAGGAAGGAAGGAAGGAAGGAAGGAAGGAAGGAAGGAAGGAAGGAAGGAAGGAAGGAAGGAAGGAAGAGACAATAGCTCCAGCATTAGCACTTAAGACTTATATACCACTATTGGATGAAAATAAAGACATGGTTGGAAGAGATGATAAAACAACCTATTGAGTTAAAACCAGAAATATTTCTGTTAGGGATTTTACCTGAAGTTTATAACAAAGAGAATGTACATCTAATTATTCATGTACTAGCTGCAGCTAGAATGGTATTTGCACAACATTGGAAAGGTGAGGAGACTCCCACAGACAAGGAAGCAATTAGGAAAATATTAGAATGTGCAGAGATGGACAGATTAACACTAGCAAGTAAGGAGAAAGAGCAAACCGAGTATTATATGATATGGAAAATAATCTATCAATGGTTAAGAGAATAAGAAAGGAATTTGGAAACGAAGAAGAATAAAGCAGAATAGAAAATAAATTAAGATAGAGATAGGAGAAAAGATTATAATTGTTATTATATGTATGATGAGAATCATGAGATGTAAGGTACTATGACCAGAAGAGTTGTGTAACGATTAGCTGTTTGATGTACCTTAACTCTAAGATTAGGGAAATAATATCAATGTGAACGTGAATGTTGTTGTAAATGGTGAAGGATGTGGCACAGAGGTGTTTGTACCTAGAGGACAGGCTGCTTGAGAAAAAATGAAATGTTTGTATTTTTGAAACTGAAAATATCTATCTATCTATCTATCTATCTATCTATCTATCTATCTATCTATCTATCTATCTATCTATCTATCTATAAATAAAAAAGACTTATATACCAGTGCTTTTACAGCCCTCTCTAAGCCATTTACAGAGTCAGCCTGTTGCCCCCAACAATCTGGGTCCTCATTTTACCGACCTCAGAAGGATGGAAGGCTGACTCAACCTTGAATCAAACTCCTGACAGTCGGCGGAGTTAGCCTGCAATACTGCCTTCCACCACTGCTCCCCCCACGGTGCTTCACGTCTCTCTCTAATGCCTGTCAGCCTTGGAAGCCATATTTTACTTAGAAGTTTTGAGGCTGCCCCATTCTAGTGCCTGGGAATTTGTGAGGGGGGAAATTCATAGGTTGGAGGGAAGGTTAGACTCAACAACAATCTTGGAGGAACTTTGTTTCTGAGTGCTGAGTTTTAAAATGGGGGAGTTTCATTGCAATGCTGACAACTCCCTTTTGAACGATCTGTATTGCCTATAAACGTTGGCCGTAACGTCGTCACAACATTTGTAAACAAGTACAGGAGAAACACGATATTGAAATCGTCTGCAGCTCAACCTAAGGAGAAAACTATAACTGTCGGCCAATCCCATGCACCAGAAAGTGTTAAGTCTTGTCAACTACAGTGGTGGTACTTTGCTACTCAACTGCTTTGAAACTCATCGGATTTGGTAGTCAGCGCAATTTGATGTGAAAATTTTGTCCTGGTAGTCGTCATTTGTTTGGTACTCAGTGCACAAGCCAGAACTTGTCTGTGTCGGCTGCCTTGTGACTCACTACATTATTCCTTAGGATGAAAAATCTGTTTGGTACTCATCATTTTTGGTACTCATCGCTCCTCCAGGAACCAATTAACGATGAGCATCAAAGCACCACTATATATGGTTCACAAACTTTCCTGGGAAGACTGAATAAGGCCTGGAAAAGGCCTGGAGACTAAAACATATGAAGAACAGTTGCAGGAACTGGGTTTGGCTAGTCTAGAGAAAAGAAGGACTAGGGGCGACATGATAGCAATATTCCAGGGTTTGAGAGGCTGCCCCAAAGAAGGGTGGGTGGGGTTCAAGCTATTTTCCAAAGCACCTGAAGGCAGGACAAGAAGCAATGGATGGAAACTAATCAAGGAGAGAAGCAACCTGGAATGAAGGAGAAACTTCCTCACAGTGAGGACAATTAACCACTGGAACAACTTGCCACCAGAGGTTGTGGGTGCTCCATCCCTGGAGGATTTTAAGAAGAGACTAGTCTGTGACGTCTGAAATGGTACTATAGGTTCTCCTGCTTGAGCAAAGGGCTGGACTAGAAGACCTCCAAGGTACCTCCCAGCTCTGTTCTGATTGATTGACAGATTGAAATGTGTATAAGATTCTGTTTCACTAACCATCAAATGTTCAGAAGAAAAAATACATAGAACAGAACAGAAATTAGAATAGACTAGAACAGAACAGAAATTAGAATAGAATAGAACAGAACGGAACAGAAATTAGAATAGAATAGAACAGAACAGAATATAGAACAGAACAAAACACAACAGAAGGGAACAGAAGAAAATAGAAGAGTTGGAAGGGACCTCGGAGGTCTTCTAGTCCAACCTTGCTTAGGCAAGAAACCCTATACCATTTTAGACAAATGGTTGCCCAATCTCTTCTTAATAAAATTTAATGTTAATGTAAATGAGTGGTCATCTAAAATAGTCATATTTTTTAGGTATTTCTTACCTGTTGTTCATCCTCCATGACATTGCTAGCAAATTCAAACATCAAGTCATTTTGCTGCACCAGTGCTGCCATGCTAAAGCATTCCAAGGTCTCAATTCAGCATGGAATTAAAAATGCTTCTTCAGCATCAAGAAAGGGAATTTACTATTGCCAGGGATGACTTTGTATGGGGCAGAAGATGTCGAAGTTACTCAGAAGCCAGGGAGAAATTCTTTTTCTGTCCGTCTTCCTTTTGAGATGACACACTTGTTTCTTGAAAAAACCCTAAAAAAACAACCAAGAACAGGAAGATTAAGTCAGTATGAATAATCAAATAAAAATACAAACAGTGCAGATGTGAATTAGGCCGTACTTTGGTTTGATAAGACTTTGTTAGAGTTTCTTAAGAACAGATAAGAATAACGGGTGAATCTTACAAAATGTGAAGCATGTGTCTTTTGCCATTTCTCTCTCTCACTTTCCCTCTCTCCTTCATTCTTTCTCCTTCTCTCCCTCTTTCTTTCTCTGTCCCTCTCTCCTCTCTCTCCTTCTCTCTCACCTCGTTCACTTTCTTTCTCTCTTCTCGCTTTCTCCCTCTTTCTTTTTCTATCCTCTTTCTATCCCCTTTCTTTCTCTCTTTCTCTCTCTCCCTCTCTCTCTCTCGTTCTTTCTTTCTCTTTCTCTCTATGCTTCTCTCTTTCTCTATGTTTGTTTCTCTGTCTCTTCCTTTTTCTTTCTCCCTTTCTCTCTCTCTGTGTTTCTTTCTCCCTTTCTTTCTCCTTTGGTCTCTCTCTCCCTCTTTCTCCTCTCTCTCCCTCTCTCTCTCTTTCTCCCTCTCTCTCTCTCTCTCACACACACACAGACAACTACCAGAAAGAAAGTTAAATGCTAACGATCCAGACTGAAGACATAGACCAAAGGAGTAACATACACCCACCCAATGCTAGCAGATCCAATTTACAATGTCAAACGTCTCTCTTCTATACCCTTCTGGAAAAAACAACAACAACAACAACATTACACGTCACAATCTTTGAGATTGTGTAAAAACAAAAACAAAAAGAAGATGCCTCGGTCCTTCTTTGTAACCGAGTAGATATGGAGGCATTCCCCCCCCCTGCTGCCCCAGTTATATGAAAACACCCCACCTCCAGCCCGCGAGCGCCTTATCTCTAAAACGGGCTTGTAAGCAGCAGGAAGGAAACACGGACCACGTCATGGCAAACGAAACATGCAAAGAGAGCCGTGAGCTGCAACAGCCTGAGGAGCAGAAATGCACCCATATGTGCTATAGGGGTGGAGGGGGGGGTGGAGGGCTTCTACTTCCCCTCCCTCTAACCTCTTGGTGCGTAAGGTTGAGCTAAAAGACTGAAGCAGGAAAAGGTGAGCTCCATTCGGAGAGCCATGAAACCACAGCGTGATTGGAAAAAAAAACACAAAACCAAGCAAGTGAGGACATTGGTACAACTGCTCCTTGACTTGCAACGAGTCCGTTCAGCGACTGTTCGAAGTGACAAACGGCCCTGGGAGAAAGGGACCGAGGACCGCATTTCACAGTTACGACCTTGGCAGAATCCCCGATCAAAAAAAATTGGGACGCTTGACAGCTGTTATCTTTCACGAGCCTAAGAATTCATGACTGCTTTGCCTCTACAGGTAGTCCTCGGCTTACAACGGCTCACTCAGTGACGAGGAAGCCAGATTCTCGCAACAACCAGGTTACTAACTTAAACAACTGCAGTGATCCATTCAACAACTGCTGCAAGGAAGGTTGCAAAACGGGGCAACACTCACTTAACAAAGGTCTCACTTAACAGAAATGCAGGGCTCCCTTGGGCTCACATGTCCAGGACTGCCTGTATATGTGTGTGTGTGTGGAGAGTAGCGTAGAGTATTGGAATGAAATGGAACAGAACAGAATAAAATAAAATAAAATGTACTGGAATGAAGATAGGGTAGGATAGGATAGGAAGGATAGGATAGAAGTAGAAGTAGAATAATATAGAGAATATAGGAGAGAAAATGGAATGGAATGAAATGGGATAGAATAAAAATTGGAATAAAAAATAAAAATACAAAATACAAAAAATAAATTGTAATTGTGGTGACCAGAACTGGATGCAGTAGTCCAAGTGTGGTCTTACCAGAGTATATTAATAAACTAAACTAGACTAGACTAGACTAGACTAGACTAGACTAGACTGGACTGGACTGGACTGGACTGGACTGGAATAAGGAATAGAATAGAATAGAATAGAGAATAGAGAATAGAGAATAGAGAATAGAGAATAGAGAATAGAGAATAGAGAATAGAATAGAATAGAATAGAATAGAAGAGAAGAGAAGAGAAGAGAAGAGAAGAGTACAGAGAATATAGGAGAGAAAATGGAATGGAATGGAATAGGATAGGATAGGATAGGATAGGATAGGATAGGATAGGATAGGAT